GCCCTCAACCCCATTTCCCAAAACTACTGGAGTGGGAGCCACTTCGGCAAGCTTACCCAGAGAACTTTTCTGGAGCTTTACCACCAAATCTCCCCCTATCGACTCTTCCTGGACCCCTTTCACAATATCCCACCAATCCACATTCTGTGTACCACCAGGTGGTGGATCACTCCCACGAATTTTAGGGACTCCATCATCCATCACAGACACGCCCCCACCAGAAGGCGGAATATCCGAGTCGGACGGAACCATAGGATCACACCGGACAGCCGTCAGGGAAGGGGGGGTGCCGTCTTCCAACCTCCTCCGTGCATCTAGGATATTCTGAAGAGAACCTCCAAATTTCCGCCGCTTCATACTGTGCTGCCCAGCGCCAACAGGCAACAGGCAATCCGCCTCACGTCGTCCAGAACCGCGGCTAGGAGCATGTACATCCTCCATATGCACTTCTGCCACCACCTCAGTTGTTCGAGCAGCAGACCGAGCCATATCAACACCATCACTGATTACTTGCTGCGGGTTCCGATGCACACCAAACGACTCAGCATTGGAGCACCCATCCACCGATGAAACGCCCACCACTGCATCTACCACCTCACTAGAGCAGGGAGGCACCACAGCACACTCGCCTTCGGAGCTGGTCTGCACGGGCACGCACGGGCTCGTAGGGAGATCGACATTCCCACTAGACCTTTCAGGAGACGCTACAGCAGTACGGACGTCATCCTCACCAGGAGATACCACTGAAGCAGCACTCTTGGGACCCAGATTTGGGCCATCCACCACTGCATCCGGTCCCATACTAGGGGCACTGCTCAAAACTGACAGATCTTCTTGCTCGTGCAAAGGAGGAAAATCATTTTCATTGAACAGATTAACCCGGTCATCCATCCTGGTGGTGCAGGCAGCAGCCACATGCTCAACATGACCATACTTGAAACATGTCCGAGTCTGTCCCCGGTAGAAAAAGCCGACCGTATAGCCAGCAATCGAAGTGAGGAAGGCACATTCCCACGAAGGACCATTTTTGCCGTCCTGTAACCATTCATGAGTCCTTTGACGGCTCCAGACGTGTGGCTACACACACGGATAAAGTCGACACGCCCATACCTGGCAAGCGCCCGACGGAGAAGATCCTCTGACATTTCAATTGTAGCATTTTTAATCGATACGTACGTATACTCCACACTCAAATTCGCCACCCTCACAGAGCCTCGACCGTTGCTCAGCCGCACCTCCCGATCCTCATACTGTTCAATAAACTGCCTGAACAAACAATTCTCGGCAAACTTCACCACCACTCTGTCCTCGCTAATGATCTGCAAACCAACAAGATCTTCCACCTTCACTTTCATAACATGTATTGCTGATGACTCCAATGTCCACTTTACAGGTGAACGTCAGCCCTGCCGACTCCTTCCTCCGCAGTGGCGGCACGTAAGTCCCCATACTGAGACGAGTAAGTAGTCACCCCGCAGTGGCAAACGACCACTCGCCAGGGCAACCGAGAAGCGTCCAATGGAAACACCAGCAGAGAGACCTCAAGAACGTCCGACCTGGCTGGTGGTTCGACCATCGATCCCTAAATGGCATAACCTTAGCTATTGTGTCGTCCGGAATAGCTGCGACAGTGTTACCAGGTGGAAGAGTAACTGCCACTTTAGCTTAGAAATTGCCATTGAACATGTAATTCATTGAAACTCCCACGTGCAACATTGCCAAAGCATTCGGCATGGGAGAAGTATTGCAGAAATATAAACTTACTGTTTGGGATGAATGCCAAATGACCCACAAAAAATCGCTCGAGGCTCTTGATCGATCAGTGCAAGATTTGCATGGAAACATCAGACCATTTGGGAAATTGCTTGCAGGAGATTTCAAGCAAACATTACCTGTAGTTCCTACATCGATACCAGCAAACGAAATAAATGCTCGCCTAAAGTACTCTTCTTTGTGGCGCCACGTAAAGACGTTAAAATTAACTACAAATATGCGTGTCGAGGGAGCCGGTCGGCCGAGCGAGGGAGCCGGACGGCCGAGCGGACAGCACGCTGGACTTGTGATCCTGTGGTCCTGGGTTTGATCCCAGGCGCCAGCGAGGAACAATGGGCAGTTTCTTTGACCCTATGCCCCTGTTAACTAGCAGTAAAATAGGTATCTGGGTGTTAGTCAGCTGTCACGGGCTGCCCAAACACTTGGGCTGGACGGTAGAGTGACGGTCTCGCTCCGTGCAGGTCGGCGTTCGATCCCCGACCGTCCAAGTGGTTGGCACCATTCCTTTCCCCCGTCCTATCCGAAATCCTTATCCTGACCCCTTCCAAGTGCTATATAGTCGTAATGGCTTGGCGCTTTCCCCCTGATAATGCTCTCTCTCTCTCTGTCATGGGCTGCTTCCTGGGGGTGGAGGCCTGGTCGAGGACCGGGCCGCGGGGACACTAAAGCCCCGAAATCATCTCAAGATAACCTCAAGATAGGAAACTGCAAAACGATCCATATTCTCACAGCAATTTCTGGAAACTGGGAACGGAAACGTGCCGGTTGATCTGACCTCAGGACGAATTTCATTGCCTCATAACTTCTACAATTTAGTGAAGTCAAAAGAAGAATTTGCTGAAAAAGCATTTACCAATATTCAAACCAATTATAAGACTCACGATTGGCTGAGTGAACGAGCTATTCTTGTGGCCAAGAACAAAGACGTCTACGAACGTCTACAATATTAATCAGTCTAACATTCAAAGCGAGTCAGTCACATACAAGTCCCTCGACACTGTTGAGGAAGCAGATGAAGCGGTTAAATATCCAACAGAATTTTTTAATTCACTCGATCTGCCAGGGATACCACCACACGTACTGCAATTAAAAATCGGTGTGCCAATTATCATGTTGCGAAATATCAACCAGCCAAAACTTTGCAATGCCACACGCCTTGCAGTACAAGAAAATTAATCACCAACGTCGTAGAAGCAACACTCTTGACAGGACCTTTCAATGGTGAAGATGTCCTTATTCCTCGCATTCCTATGATTCCAAAAGATATGCCATTTCAATTTAAGAGATTGTAATTTTCAATTCGATTGGCGTTTGCAAATCACCATCAACAAAGCTCAGGAGTAAATCTTTAGAATTGTGCAGTTTATATCTATACACGGATTGCTTCTCACATGGACAATTATATGTTGCGTGTTCTAGAGTCGGCAAACCAGACAATCTCTATATCTCCACAGACAATGGAAAAACAAAAAATATTGTATTCCTACAACCATTGTGAAATTAAACATGTTAGAAACGTGCGCTTTCTTTTCTTTCTTTTCCATTGAATCTTACTAAGCCACAGCAACGCGTGGCGGGTACAGCTAGTCTTAAATAAACACTTGGAAGTTGTTTTGGCTTTAATTAAAATTATTGAATAGATAAATATCCAAAGCAAATGCACTACCTAAATATTACATAACTTATTACTGACTTTATAAATTAAAAACTGATAAATTCTCTTGACAGAAATACTATAGGTAATTATTGAGGAGTTTAGAATGTCCTGCAGAAAACTGTCATAGGAGTCGCGCCATGTGGTCAGACATGATAACTTAAACTGAAGTAGTTAACAGTCGTTAGTAATGACCGCCATTGCTCAAACATTTTCCCTCGAGTATCTCTTCAGTTCATCTTACTGAGCTCTCTCTCACTGATTTTTAGCTAAAAAAATGAAAATGGAGTATCTTTGTTACACACAATAATAATTGTCGTTCTCTCTCGAGGTTCATTCAGTAACAATCTTAATTGAACTCACGCTTTTCCGTACACGATGCCAAGTTACGTGCGTACAGACACCACATGTAGACCAGTTACCCCGGCCAACAACTCTAAATCCATAATGACCTCATTCAACAGTGACTTTTCACCCATTATCTACTCACAATTCGTCCCGAAAGGAAGAAATATTCCCGGACCTAAGGAAGGAAGTCATTATCCTTAAGAGTGAATTTCACAACAAAAAATCAATCCTAATTCACTCCCAAGAACAGGATATTGGCCAGCCATTATTGTGGTGAGAGTGTCCACCATGAAGTTGTTGTCCTTCCCGACGTGATCAGAAGCCCCTTGATTCATCCTGTAAGTCGTTAACTTATTCCACTTGATCAAGTACCTGCTACTGCAGTTGCTTCTTACCGCTGCTGTAGCATTCTCCCATTCACTTACTGTCATTACTGTTCACCATTAATGTTCACTCTTGTATGGTTCTCCACTGTTACTTGTATTCATGAAGCTTTGACAGTCACCATATTTAATTTAAAATTTTCACGGTTCTCAGCAACTTCTAGAGTTACAGAAAAAAGACAAGGACAAGGACAAGTCAGGTGATTATTGTGAAGATTACCAAATGCGGGACAACTTGCCTACATTACATACTTAGCTCCTCCTCACCTGTGGTCACGATATAGCTGATCACTAGTATTAAAAACACCTTCGAATAATAACAGAGGCACATGTCATGTGCCAGGTGAGTACGACGGGCTCGCCATACCCCGTGCTGCTTACAACTTTTTGTTCCAAGCAGCTGAATTTAAAACAATGACAACAACATAATAGGGTGCTATGCTGCCTCTTTTACCCATTCATCAGTACTTGTGTGACAAGCTTATTATCACGAATTTTTCCTGCCAACATTATTCTCTAATTCTCCAAAAGTCATCCAGGAGTATACAATTTTAGCCATTGCTGGAATAATAATAATTCTTTAGTCCTCTCCTTAATTCTGAGTGGGTAGTTTTGTTCTTGCAAAAGTGTTCTAATGTAATAAAAACACAAAAACGCGATAAAACCATTTTCATGTAATATGCAAGCCTACAGGACCACCGTTAACACACTCCAGGAGACTACGGTATTGCACCACTTGTCTGGCTTCCTTAACCCAGGAGACCACAGCAGTTATGTCCATATTCCAATATGTCCATCACAGAATAACACAGAAGTTACATTCAAGTGCTTCTTTTCCCTAGCTCAAGAGGTGACTCCCCCACGACTGAGGACGGTGATGGGGATGGGTCTGGGGACGTCGTTCTCGCTGGCCTTCGTGGTGTTTGCAGGTTTTGGCTACCTCCTCAGGTCCTGGAGACTCATCCTGCTCAGTGCCACCTCCTTACTCCTGCCCGTAATCCCGCTCTCGTTGTAAGCTTGGATTTATCAATCACTAGATTATTATTGGTTTATTATTATTATTATTAGTGGGTTATTGAACAGTAGCCCAGCTACCTGTTCCATTTGTCAGGCTTCCCATGTTACACAAGACTTTTTTAGCATTATCACTCGACAATGACGACGAATAACATCAATGAAGAACGATTGAACTCAGTTCGACAAAAAAATTCTGGAAAGCTGGTTATTGGCGATGTAAGAACTCACTTGCCTTTGAAAAAGACAAAAGGAGGCTTGACGATGGTGGTGTTTTCAGGCCAAGGTCAGGCACTGTAGAGTAGGGACATATAGTGATGTACATGAAGGTTGAAGCCTTATATACGAATTAGATATTTTTATGTCTAGTCCATTTTGGGCCAATTTCCAAATACATCATTAACTGGATTGCCTTAGGCCCAAGAAGTCTCGATCAGTTTTAATAATTTTACTTTCAGGCTGTTGTTATTGCGAGATGTTTATGGCATATTCCCAGGAAGGCATAGACTTAATCTTCGTGAGAAATTAGTTAACGAGCTGTTAAAGCAAGTCTGAATCTGGAGAATTTTTTTAAGATTTTGAATTTGTAGAAATAAGCATTAGGCAGGGGGCGGTGTAATTTTGAAAAGTTTTATAAAATTATTTAAGTTACTGCTACATAAAGGTGACATACTCGTTTATGTTGGAGTTTTCATTAAAGTAAGACGCTAGATGCATTCCATGTTGTGACTTACGGTAAGTTAGGTTAAGTTATCTGCACATCCTTTTCCCTGGATCTCTCATGAACTCAGCACAAGAAAAATTATTTCCTTTCAATTTTAGTGAACTCCTAAATAGAGTTTGTGGTGCCATCTGATGAATTGGTTGGATGAGTGTGGATATGAATTCTCACGAGATAATGTACTTATATGATAACCATTATTCGCTATTAGATAGTGCCAGAAATTAGTTTAATCCTTGATTGAATAGTGATCTTTAAATTTTAACATTATCATAAACTCCCCCCCTCTCCCCCCCCCATTAGTATCTGCGTGATCCTCTCCTTGGTCACCACCCATGTGTTCCTCTCCTTGGTCACCACCCATGAGTTCCTCTCCTTGGTCACCACTCATGTGTTCCTCTCCTTGATCACCACCCATGTGTTCCTCTCCTTGGTCACCACCCATGTGTTCCTCTCCTTGGTCACCACTCATGTGTTCCTCTCCTTGGTCACCACCCATGTGTTCCTCTCCTTGGTCACCACCCATGTGCTTCTCTCCTTGGTCATCACCCATGTGCTTCTCTCCTTGATCATCACCCATGTGTTCCTCTCCTTGGTCACCACCCATGTGTTCCTCTTCTTGGTCACCACCCATGAGTTCGTCTCCTTGGTCACCACCCATGTGCTTCTCTCCTTGGTCACCACCCATGTGTTCCTCTCCTTGGTCACCACTCATGTGTTCCTCTCCTTGGTCACCACCCATGTGTTCCTCTCCTTGATCACCACCCATGTGTTCCTCTCCTTGGTCACCACTCATGTGTTCCTCTCCTCGACCATCACCCATGTGTTCCTCTCCTTGATCATCACCCATGTGTTCCTTTCCATGATCATCACCCATGTGTTCCTCTCCTTGGTCACCACCCATGTGCTTCTCTCCTTGGTCATCACCCATGTGCTTCTCTCCTTGATCATCACCCATGTGTTCCTCTCCTTGGTCACCACCCATGTGTTCCTCTCCTTGATCATCACCCATGAGTTCCTCTCCTTGGTCATCACCCATGTGTCCCTCTCCTTGATCATCACCCATGTGTTCCTCTCCTTGATCATCACCCATGTGTTCCTCTCCTTGATCATCACCCATGAGTTCCTCTCCTCGGTAATCACCCATGTGCTTCTTTCCTCGGTCGTCACCCATGTGCTCCCCTCCTCAGTCACCATCCATGTGCTCCCCTCCTCGGTCATCTCCATGTTCTTCCCTCCTCAGTTATCACCCATGTGTTTACCAGACCACACACTAGAAAGTGAAGGGACGACGACGTTTCTGTCCGTCCTGGACCATTCTCAAGTCGATTCTCTCCATCGACTTGATAATAGTTCAGGACGGACCGAAGCGTCGTCGTCCCTTCACTTTCTGGTGTGTGATCTAGTCAACATATTTCAGTCATGTTATTGTGACTCATCGTCTGCGTCACCTATGTGTTCCTCTCCTCGGTCATCATACAAGTGCTTCCCTCCTCAGTCATCACCCATGTATTCCTCTACTCAGTCTTCACCCATGCGGTCCTCTCCTCGGTCGTCACTTATGTCCTCCTATCCTCAGTCATTACCAATGTGTTCCTTTCCTCAGTCATCAACCATGTGCTTCCTTCCTCAGGCATCAGCATGTTCTCTCCTCCTCAGTCATCACTCAAGTGCTCCTCTCATCGGTCATCACCCATGTGCTCCCCTCCTCGGTCGGTATCTATGTGCTCCTCTCCTCAATCATCACCTATGTGCTTCTCTCCCCAGTCATCACCCATGTGCTCCCCTCCTCGGTCGGTATCTATGTGCTCCTCTCCTCAATCATCACCTATGTGCTTCTCTTCCCAGTCATCATCCATGTGCTCCCCTCCTCAGTCATCACCAATGTACTCCTCTCCTCCATCATCACCCATGTGCTCCCGTCCTCGGTCATCACCCGAGTGCTCCTCTCCTCAGTCATCACCCTTGGGCTCCTCTCCTCAGTCATCACTCATGTGCTCCTCTCCTCAGTATCACCCATGTGCTCCTCTCCTCAGTATCACCCATGTGCTCCTCTCCTCAGTATCACCCATGTGCTCCTCTCCTCAGTCATCACTCATGTGCTCCTCTCCTCAGTATCACCCATGTGCTCCTCTCCTCAGTATCACCCATGTGCTCCTCTCCTCAGTATCACCCATGTGCTCCTCTCCTCAGTATCACCCATGTGCTCCTCTCCTCAGTCATCACTCATGTGCTCCTCTCCTCAGTATCACCCATGTGCTCCTCTCCTCAGTCATCACTCATGTGCTCCTTTCCTCAGTATCACCCATGTGCTCCTCTCCTCAGTATCACTCATGTGCTCCTCTCCTCAGTCATCACTCATGTGCTCCTCTCCTCGGTATCACCCATGTGCTCCTCTCCTCAGTATCACCCATGTGCTCCTCTCCTCAGTCATCACTCATGTGTTCCTCTCCTCGGTCATCACCCATGTGCTCCCGGCTGTCACGGGCTGGCCCTGTCCGTCTAGTCAAGTATTTGGCCGTGTCCCTTGGCTACAGGTCTGGCCATGTGGTTAGTTAAGCATGTTGATCTAGGGATGAATGATGGATATTTGCTTGCAAGACCAGGGAAATTCCCCCATGGACCATAAAACCATCTAGCACGAGTGACAAAGAAATATATATTTGCATATAAATAAGAACATTCAACAGGGTTAATTATTCAGGAGAAAACTCCTAATCTCTAAATATTCCCATTTAACTGTATTCTATTTGTAGGTCATATAAAAAAGTCAATTTTCTTTTACAAAATATTTACATACAATTTCCAAGTAATTCATAGTAAACCTCTGACTCCCGGTACTAGTTTCATGGGCGAATTGATATCAGCGACCCACGCCCTGCCAGCTCACTCCATGGACAGATATCTACTTCTCTCTCATTAGACAAATGGCGAAATAAACCGTTTTTACCTAAAAATATCCTTTTCGAGACAAGGATCGTAACGCCCTCCTCAGTCATCACCCATGTGTGCCCCTCCATAGTCAAAACCCATGTACTAACCTAGTTGTACTCACCTAGTTGTGCTTGGGTTGAGCTTTGGCTCTTTGATCCCCGCCTCTCAACCGTCAATCTACTACTGTACAGATTATAATAATAATAATAATAATAATAATTTTTATTTAGGTAAAGGTACATACATAAAGAGATTTTACAAAGTTTGTTGACTTTATAGATAGAGCTAGTACATACAATGCCTAAAGCCACTAATTACGCAAAGCGTTTCGGGCAGGAATTCGCCATTTCGGGCATTTCGCCATTTCGGGCGGGCGGGCAGATTCCTGAGTTTCTCGAGCTCTATCATATCTTCATTTGAGATTGTGCATGGAGTCAGTCTCCACCACATCATTGCCTAGTGCATTCCATTTACTAACTACTCTCACACTGAAAAAGTTCTTTTTAATGTCTCTGTGGCTCATTTGGGTACTCAGCTTCTACCTGTGCCCCCTTGTGCGTGAACCACCTGTGTTAAATAATCCATCCTTGTCTACCCTTTCAATTCCCCTGAGAATTTGCTATGTGGTGATCATGTCTTCCCGAGCTCTTTTGTCTTCCAGCGACGTCAGGTACAGTTCACTCAGCCTTTCCTCGTAACTCATGCCTCTTAGTTCTCGTACTAGCCTAATGGCATACCTCTGAACTTTTTCCCAGCTTCGTCTTGTACATGAGTAGGTATGGGCTTCATGCTGGGGCCGCTTACTCGAGGATTGGCCTTCTATACGTTTTATACAAGGTTCTGAAAGATTCCTTACACAGGTTCCTGAAGGCAGCTCTGATGTTAGCCAGCCTTGCATACGCCGCCGATGTTATTTTTTTGATGTCGGCTTCAGGAGACAGGTTTGGCGTGATATCAACTCCTAGATCTTTCTCTCTGTCTGTTTCGTGAAGGACTTCATGTCCCATTCGGTATCCAGTATCTGGTCACCTATTTCCTCCACCTAGTTTCATTACCTTACATTTACTTGGGTTGAACTTTAATAGCCATTTGTTGGACTATTCCCTCAGTTTGTTTAGGTCATCTTGTAGCCTCATACTATCTTCGTCTGTCTTAATCCTCCTCATAATTGTTGAGGCTGCATCATCAGCAAACAATGAGAGGAACGAGTCTATTCCCTCTGGGAGAACATTTACATATATTAGGAACAGTGTAAGTCCAAGAACTGATTCCCGAGGAACTCCACTTGTGACGCCTCGCAACTCCGAGACCTCACCTCTCACAGCAACTCGCTGTCTTCTGTTGGTTAGGTACTCCCTTTTCCAGTGGAGCCTCCCATTCACTCCTGCCTGCATCTCTAGTTTGTGCACTAGTCTCTTATGTGGCACTGTGTCAAAGGCTTTCTAGCAATCCGAAAATATGCAGCCTGCGTTGCCCTCTCTTTCTTTCCTGAATTTTGTTGCCAAGTCATAGAATTCAATTAATCCTGTGAGGCATGATTTGCCATCCCAGAACCCATGCTGATGTTGTAATAAAAAGTTCTTCTGCTCCAGAAGTTCTAATAGCTTTTTTCGAACAATCTTCTCTATCACCTTGCATGGTATGCAAGTTAATAACACTGGCCTGGAGTTTAGTGCCTCCTGTCTATCACCCTTCTTGAATATTGCGACTACATTAGCCGTATTCCAAATGTTTGGCAGATCGCCTGTTACCAGTGATTTGTTATACACCATGGCGAGTGGCTGGCACAGAGCTTCTGCTCCTTCCTTCAGTATCCAAGGTGAGATTCTATCTGGGCCATTAGCCTTTGTCACTTTCAACTCTAGCATTATTTTTCCTCACCTCCCCAATGGTACTCACAAACTCATCTAGAGGTGTTTGGTTAGATATTCCCCCTCTTATCTCTGGGACTTCCCCTTGTTCTACTGTAAAGACATGGAATTTCGTATTGAGTTCTTCGTACACTTCTTTGTCCTTTGAAGTGAATTTGTCTACAACTGTCCTCAGTTTCATCACCAGTTCCTTCACTATTATTTTTTATCCTGATGTGGCTGTGCAACAATTTAGGTTGAGTCTTTGCCTTGCTTGCTATGTCCTTTTCATATTGTCTGTCTGCCTCTCTTCTCACCCTGACGTATTCATTCTTGGCGCTCTGGTATCTCTCTATGCTCACTAGTGTTCTAATATTTGTATAGTTTCTCCACGCCCTTGTACTTAGTTTCTTTGCTAGTTTACATCTCTGATTAAACCATGGGTTTCTCGTCTGCATTTCACTTCTTTCTTCGACTGGGACGAACTTGTCTGCTGCCTATTTACACAAGATAAGAGCATTTAAGTATATACTGTGAAAGGGAACAGTATATACTTATTAAATGCTTTAATCTTTCTAACAAACGTGACCTAACGTGACGTGAGCTTACCCTTCCATTTATCTTTCTTTCTCTTTCCTTTTGTTTCTCTCTTCTCTCTTTTCTGTTCTTTGTTTTCTTTACGTTCCCTTACTAGTCTCTGCCTTATCTCCTTCTCATTTGGTGGTTATATTTAAAGCTGCCTCGTATGGGCCAATAGGCCCTCTGCAGTTCTTATTCCTACTATCTCCTCTACTACATTTTGCTCCTCACCTCTCTCTAGCCTATTTATTGTCTGCATCTTCTCATGCAGAACCCATGTTCTCCCCTGGTCGGTCATTACCCATGTTCTCCCCTGGTCAGTCATTACCCATGTTCTCCCCTGGTCGGTCATTACCCATGTGCTCCCCTGGTCGGTCATTACCCATGTTCTCCCCTGGTCGGTCATTACCCATGTGCTCCCCTGGTCGGTCATTACCCATGTTCTCCCCTGGTCGGTCATTACCCATGTGCTCCCCTGGTTAGTAATTACCAATATGCTCCCCCGCGTTGGTCTCTAACCATGTGCTGTTCTCTGTCAACAGCTGTGTGTTTCCTTGTAATACGTTTGTTAAAATCCAATGTCCGGCGTCACTGTGGCTTAGGCATTAGATGGATAAATATTAACCCAGGCTTCTATGCATTTTAAAGGTTGCAATACACATAAAAGGTAAGACTTTGCCGCATGTCAGAAGCAGGTCATAAGGACGAAAACATTTTCTGGCACTGTGTCCGAATATATGACAACTGTCCCACACTGTCTCATCGCGTGCACTTACCTTCACTTCTGTCCAGCTTAGTTAAGAAGATGAGATATATATTTCACTTTGTCTGTAGTTTAGGAAACGGATATTTATCATATAATATTCTAGGAACTCCTCACAAGTTGATTTTCTTAAAGACGCCTGCTCCTTACGACTGTGAAATCACGTTGTTAAATTGATTTAATATTGGATAGGGTACCCAGAGGTGCCGGGGTTTCTCCCCCTCCTCTTTCCATTTCCATTTCTCTCCCGCTTTCTCTTTTTCCTGCCTTCCTTTTCCTATCTTCCTCCGCTCCGCCACTCCCTTTTCCCCCTTTATAAGACATCTACAACACACGCTGTATAAGACGACCTGGAATGCCTCCCTCCGTCTTTCAAATAAGATCGGTTCATATTTAATTATTAACATGTGTTATGTTGTGTATTGTTCGGTTGTGTGGTGGTGAGGACAGCATCATGAAGGAGTCGCCCCGCTGGCTGGTGCAACACGGACGAGGCGCCGAGGCCGCCCACATGCTCACCTCGGCTTTCCAACACAACCGCGCCACTCTCTCCCCCACACTTCTCGCCACCATCCACAAACTTACAAATGCAAGTGAATAAGTTTTCTTTTTTTCTTCCTCATGCGTGAAGCTGCTAAATTTAGAGACAACTACTTTGAAATTTTCTATCATAAAGATTTACAAGAAAGTTCTACAATAAAATCAAAATTACGTGATGTATCTATGAGAATATATTGAGGTAACGCATGGGATTCAACTCATATCATCATGGTTCAGTCGGTAGTGCATGTGTCTGGGATGCCAGTTCCATCATATCATATTGCCTCAGTATTTTCTCTGGAAAATTCGGTTTCACAACATAGTAATCAGACAACAATACAATTGCTGTTCAAGAAAAAATAATTTCTGGAATATCCGTTTAATCGTACACCGAAACATTATGTATAAGCATTATGACTGAAAACTCATCCAAAATTCTCTCTAAAGCAGACTGAGAATGAGAGGAAAGCAGCGGTGAGGGTTGGTGAGGACGCTGCGGTAGGGGTTGGTAGGGTAAGAGTGGGTCTCCAGCAGTGTTGGGGGTACCTGCACCTGCCCGGCATGCGCACCATCCTCCTGGTCACCCCGCTCGTCTGGCTCCTCCACAGCTTCCTCTACTTCGGCGTCATTCTCAACGCCAATAACTTTACCAGGTACCCTTCACACGTCAATGTAATGATTTCCACAATGCTACAGTGTGTGTGTGTGTGTGGGAGGGGGGCGCAAATAACTGATATTAATTTAAGTAGCCGGTAGAGTGAGACAAGCTGTATGTTCCCAGTGGATCAAGTTTTAGTTTGGTAAGCTTATTAACCTACACACGACGGTTTACGTCATGTGACATATGAGGTTCATCTGGGTTAACGACAGAAGCAATTGGATAAGGTTACCTTTTCCTGATCCGTTTTTTTTTACTAAGACTTTCAGTTTTAGACTAAAGAGGGAACCATATTATTACCTAATAAATTTCTAAACTTGTGGCATCATTGCACCTAAAAATATTAATCAGATTATTTTATAGAAGATCATTTTTTGTGTTCTTCATTGACCAATATTTATGAGGTTTTCTCGGCTTTCTACAACAAAAGATAATGTATGAATCTTTTTAAATTTCTCAAATATATTCATATCAGAATTGAATTAATTTTTAATTCTTTATAAACATGGGGGATTTTTTTAATATTTGCAACTTTCATTGCAAAGAAGAGACTTAACCAAAACAATTACCTATCTTCTTGAGGTTATCTTGAGATGATTTCGGGGCTTTTTTTAGTGTCCCCGCGGCCCGGTCCTCGACCAGGCCTCCACCCCCAGGAAGCAGCCCGTGACAGCTGACTAGCACCCAGGTACCTATTTACTGCTAGGTAACAGGGGCATTCAGGGTGAAAGAAACTTTGCCCATTTGTTTCTGCCTCGTGCGGGAATCGAACCCGCGCCACAGAATCACGAGTCCTGCGCGCTATCCACCAGGCTACGAGGCCCATAATAACTACCGAGTAGTTATTATCCAATTCTAAGGTAATTGTGCCCTCTAAGGGTTAAAAACACCTCTTGTCCATTTTATTGGAAAGTGGTATTACGATTACATTCTGACAGAGGGCAAACTTGGTATATTTGGCTAAGATTTCTAGCAGTATAACATTTGAAAGAAATATTTTGACAATTTTTGAACACATGTGATTCATTTATCTGTAAATTCCTGATTTTTTTGTTACTTTTCATCACATAGGCGTGCAAAAAAGATTTTCTGACAGCTCAGATTTGGTCAGGTCAGTATTGGTGGATATATAAACTTCCAGGGAAAACTTATAGCTACAACCAAGCCGATCAATGGTAACTTCTAGGAGAGTATTGATTTTATCGATTTAATCTTAAATCGAGCATCCACTCGATTTAAAAACCTCTTATTTACCGTTCCGCTGGTCCTAACAACCGAGTTTCAGATCGTTAACTGATGCTGTATTTATCGAGTCATTGGCCGTTCAATCCGGTATATAGTATTGGGTTTACAGAGTCTGGTTTGCGTTAATCGAACAAGAACCCGGCAATGTGATGTTATAGTGGCCAGAATACGCCTGGGATATAGACGTATCTGGCAGCTTTCTCAAAACCCAAACGTCGAGTACACAATGTGTCAACTTTGTGAAAGAGAAAACATGCACTCTCTTGAACATTACATTGTAGAATGTCCCATACTGACTGACTTTCGCCCTCCTGGGATAAGGTATGCTGAACTCTGTAATTACTATATGAGTACTGGAACACTTAATTACTATATGAGTACTGGAATAATATACATAGGGTGACACTCGACCATGTAAGTAATTTACATAGGTTGACACTCGACCCTTTAAGTAATATACATTGGCTGACACTCGACCCTGTCAGTAATATACATAGGCTGACACTCGACCCTGTAAGTAATATACATAGGCTGACACTCAACCCTGTAAGTGGTATACATAGGCTGATACTCGACTCTGTAAGTAATATACATAGGCTGACACTCGACCCTGTAAGTAGTATACATTGGATGACACTCGACCCTGTAATATACATATGCTGACACTCGACTCTGTAAGTAATATACATAGACTGACACTCGACCCTGTAATATACATAGGCTGACACTCGATGCTGTAAGTAATTTACATTGGCTTACACTCGACCCTGTAATTAATGTACATAGGCTGACTCTCGACCCTGTAAGTAATGTACATAGCCTGACACTCGACCCTGTAAATAATTTACATAGGCTGACACTCGACCATGTAAGTAATATACATAGGTTGACACTCGACCCTGTAAGTAATATACATAGGTTGACACTCGACCCTGTAGGTAACATACATAGGCTGACACTCGACCATGTAAGTAATTTATATTGGGTGACACTCGACCCTGTAAGTAATGTACTTAGGCTGACACTTGACCTTGTAATTAATATACATAGGCTGACACTCGACCCTGTAACATACATAGGCTGACACTCGACGCTGTAAGTAATTTACAATGGCTTACACTCGACTCTGCAAGTAATGTACATAAGCTGACACTCGACCCTGTAAGTAATGTACATAGCCTGACGCTCGACCCTGTAGGTAATGTACATTGGCTGACACTCGACACTGAAAGTAATTTACATAGGCTAGCACTCGACTCTGTAAATAATATGCATAGGCTGACATTCGACCCTGTAATATACATAAGCTGACATACGAACCTGTATATAATATACATAGGATTACACTCGACCTTGTAAGTAATTTACATAGGCTGACACTCGACCCTGTAAGGAATATACATTGGATAACACTCGACCCTGTAATATACATATACTGACACTCAACCCTGTAAGTAATATTCATAGGCTGACACTCGACCCTATAATATACATAGGCTGGCACTCAACCCTGTAAGTAATGTACATAGGCTGACACTCGACCCTGTAAGTCATTTATACTGGATAACACTCCACCCTATAATATACAAAAGCTGACACTCGACCCTGTAAGCAATATACATAGGCTGACACTCGATCCTGCAAGTAATATACATAGACTGACACTCGACCCTGTAAGTATTATACATAGGCTGACACTCAACCCTGTAAGTAATTTATATTGACTGACACTCGACCCTGTAAGTAATGTACTTAGGCTGACACTCGACCTTGAAAGTAATATACATAGGCTGACACTCGACCCTGTAATATACATAGGCTGACACTCGACCCTGTAATATACATAGGCTGACACTCGACGCTGTATGTAATTTACATTGGCTTACACTCGACCCTGCAAGTAATGAACTTAGGCTGACACTCGACCCTGTAAGTAATGTACATAGCCTGACGCTCGACCCTGTAGGTAATGTACATTGGCTGACACTCGACACTGTAGGTAATTTACATTGGTTGACACTCGACCCTGTAAATAATATACATATGCTGACACTCGACCCCTGTAAGTAATAAATATAGGCTGACACTCGACTCTGTAAGTAATATACATTGGCTGACGCTGGACCCTATAATATACATAAGCCGACACTCGACCTTGTAAGTAATTTTCATAGGCTGACACTCGACCCTGTGAGTAATTTACATAGGCTAACACTCGACACTGTAAGACTTTTACATTGGGTGACACTCGACCTATAACATACATAGGCTAACACTCGACCCTGTAATATACATATGCTGACACTCAACTCTGTAAGTAATATATATAGGCTGACACTCGACCCTGTAAGTAATTTACATTGGCTGATACTTGACCCTATAATATACATAGGCTGACACTCGACCCTGTAATATACATATACTGACACTCAACCCTGTAAGTAATATACATAGGCTGACATTCGACCCTGTAAGTAATATACATAGGCTGACACTCCACCCTGTAAGTAATATACATAGGCTGACACTCAACCCTGTAAGTAATATACATAGGCTGACACTCAACCCTGAAAGTAATATACATAGGTTGACACTCGACCCTGAAAGTAATATATTCTTAGGCTGACACTCGACCCTGTAAGTAATTTACATAGGATAACACTCGACTCTGTAAATATTATACATAGGCTGACATTCGACCCTGTAATATACATCAGCTGACACTCTACCCTGTAAATAATATACATAGGGTGACACTCGACCCTGTAAGTAATATACATAGGCTGACATTCGACCCTGTAAGTAATATACATAGGCTGACACTCCACCCTGTAAGTAATATACATAGGCTGACACTCGACCCTGAAAGTAATATTCTTAGGCTGACACTCGACCCTGTAAGTAATATACATAGGCTGACACTCCACCCTGTAAATAATATACATAGGGTGACACTCGACCCTGTAAGTAATATACATAGGCTGACATTCGACCCTGTAAGTAATATACATAGGCTGACACTCCACCCTGTAAGTAATATACATTGGCTGACACTCGACCCTGAAAGTAATATTCTTAGGCTGACACTCGACCCTGTAAGTAATATACATAGGCTGACACTCCACCCTGTAAGGAATATACATAGGCTGACACTCGACCCTGTAAGTAATTTATATTGACTGACACTCGACCCTGTAAGTAATGTACTTAGGCTGACACTCGACCTTGAAAGTAATATACATAGGCTGACACTCGACCCTGTAATATACATAGGCTGACACTCGACCCTGTAATATACATAGGCTGACACTCGACGCTGTATGTAATTTACATTGGCTTACACTCGACCCTGCAAGTAATGAACTTAGGCTGACACTCGACCCTGTAAGTAATGTACATAGCCTGACGCTCGACCCTGTAGGTAATGTACATTGGCTGACACTCGACACTGTAGGTAATTTACATTGGTTGACACTCGACCCTGTAAGGAATATACATTTTCTGACACTCGACCCTGTAAATAATATACATATGCTGACACTCGACCCCTGTAAGTAATAAATATAGGCTGACACTCGACTCTGTAAGTAATATACATTGGCTGACGCTGGACCCTATAATATACATAAGCCGACACTCGACCTTGTAAGTAATTTTCATAGGCTGACACTCGACCCTGTGAGTAATTTACATAGGCTAACACTCGTCACTGTAAGACTTTTACATTGGGTGACACTCGACCTATAACATACAAAGGCTAACACTCGACCCTGTAATATACATATGCTGACACTCAACTCTGTAAGTAATATATATAGGCTGACACTCGACCCTGTAAGTAATTTACATTGGCTGATACTTGACCCTATAATATACATAGGCTGACACTCGACCCTGTAATATACATATACTGACACTCAACCCTGTAAGTAATATACATAGGCTGACATTCGAGCCTGTAAGTAATATACATAGGCTGACACTCCACCCTGTAAGTAATATACATAGGCTGACACTCGACCCTGAAAGTAATATTCTTAGGCTGACACTCGACCCTGTAAGTAATATACATAGGCTGACACTCCACCCTGTAAGGAATATACATAGGTTGACACTCGACCCTGTAAGTAATGTACATAGGTTGACACTCGACCCTGTAAGTGGTATACCTAGGCTGACACTCGACTCTGTAAGTAATATACCTAGGCTGACACTCGACCCTGCAAGTAATATACATAGGCTGACACTCGACCCTATAAATAATATACATAGGCTGACACTCGGCCCTGTAAGTAATTTACATTGGCTGACACCCGACCCTGTAAGTCATTTACATTGGATGACACTCGACCCTTTAATATACATAGGCTGACACTCGACCCTGTAATATACATAGGCTGACACTAGATCCTGTAAGTAATACGCATAGGCTGACACTCGACCCTGTAAGTGGTATACATAGGCTGACACTCGACCCTGTAAGTAATATGCAAAGGTTGACACTCGACCATGTAAATAACTTTCATTGGCTGACACTCGACCCTATAAGTAATTTATATAGGCTGACACTCGACCCTGTAAGTAATTTATATAAGCTGACACTCGACCCTGTAAGTAATTTACATTGGCTGACACTGGACCCTATAATATACCTAGGCTGACACTCGATCCTCTAAGTAATTTATATAGGCTGACACTCGACCCTGTAAGTAATGTACATTGGCTGACACTCGACCCTATAATATTCATAGGTTGGCACTCGACCCTGTAAATAATTTACATTGGCTGACACTCGACCCTTTAATATTCATAGGCTGGCACTCGACCCTGTAAGTAATTTATATAGGCTGACACTCGACCCTGTAAATAATATACATAGGCTGACACTCGACCCTGCAAGTAATTTATTTAGGCTGACACTCGACCCTGCAAGTAATATATATAGGTTGACACTCGACCCTTTAAGTGGAATACATAGGCTGACACACGACCTTGTAAGTAAGTTACATAAGCTGACACTCGACCCTGTAAGTAATTTACATTGGCTGACACTGGACCCTTTAAGTAATGTACATAGGCTGACATTCGACCCTGTAAGTAATGTACATAGGCTGAGACTCGACCCAGGAAGCATTTTAAACAGGCAGACTCGACCGTACAAGCACTGTAGATTAAGCTGATAATCGACCCTCCAAGAACTTTTGATAAGCTGCCACTCGGTCCTACATGAAGTTTAAATAAGCTGACACTGTTCTCTTCATGCACATTATATTAGCTTGTGCTCCTCCCTGCAACCACTCTACATATCCTGACTGCAGGTTACATCAGCCGACACTCGAATCCGTGAGCACATTAGAATTTGACATTCGACCCTCTAAGTCCTTCTGCTAAGCTTACACTCAACCCTAAAAAAACTTTAGATAAGCTGACAGTCACACCTGATAACACTTTAGATAAGCTGACGCTGTACCCTGCAAGTACTTTAGATAACTGACGCTCGTCCTGGCAAGGACTTTAAATACTCTGAGTCTCGATCCTGCAAGCACTTTAGCTCAGCTGATACTCGGCCCAGGAAGCACATAGTACAGATGTGCGGAATGCTGAGTCAATCCCCACTCCCATTATCCTGCTACATTTTCGGTGGTGGGATAACTTTTGGTGATCTGGCCGACAGTGGTTATTATTCATTAACTTGCAGTTATGAATAATAAGTGTAAATACTGCTTCCACACACTGCTTACAGTCGTCATGATAATGTATGCTTTTGATGTTATGCAACATGCACCTTTGATAATGCTCACGGTCAGACCGTTATGTGGATCTGTCGGTGTTACGACAGACAACCTTGTTATGATGGACAGGTACACACACCCATGCATCAACCACCAGTCTATTTTATGTTGTGTACGGACACTCGTGCATAAACCTCATATGAACATATACATAAGATGCACAGCAATGCAACAAGCACTTGTGACCATGAGCAAAGACACACAGTAATGCAACAAGCACTTGTGACCATGAGCAAAGACACACAGTAATGCAACAAGCAACTGTGACCATGGACAAATACACACAGTAATGAAACAAGCACCTGTGACCATGGACAAATACACACAGCAATGCAACAAGCACCTGTGACCATGGACAAATACACACAGCAATGCAACAAGCACCTGTGACCATGGACAAATACACGCAGCAATGCAACAAGCACCTGTGACCATGAGCAAATACACACAGTAATGCAACAAGCACCTGTGACCATGGACAAATACACACAGTAATGAAACAAGCACCTGTGACCATGAACAAATACACACAGCAATGCAACAAGCACCTGTGACCATGGACAAATACACGCAGCAATGAAACAAGCACCTGTGACCATGGACAAATACACACAGTAATGAAACAAGCACCTGTGACCATGGACAAATACACACAGCAATGAAACAAGCACCTGTGACCATGGACAAATACACACAGTAATGAAACAAGCACCTGTGACCATGGACAAATACACACAGTAATGAAACAAGCACCTGTGACCATGAACAAATACACACAGTAATGCAACAAGCACCTGTGACCATGACCAAAGACATGCAAATACAACATGCATTGTGACAACTAACGTTCAGTAACTTTACCGCGAGCAGCAACAACCCGTTCTTATACGTGGCGCTGTCGGGAGTGATGGACGGCTCGGCCATCCTGCTGACCATTCCCTTGGCCACGCGTCTTGGCCGCCGTCAGCTCACCGGGGCGGCCTTCCTGCTGTCCGGGATCCTCCTCATCCTCGACCTCGCCGTCCCTACAGGTAAACCTTCAGCCTCAGTCCTTGGTGTAGTCTAGACGTTGCATACCCAAGCGTGGATCTTGGGTATACCATGGGCTTGACAGGTACACCTACAACCGTTTGTCTCCGATGAATGTTTCGACAGTTTTAGGTGTACCTGGACACGAAGGCTCTACATGTGAATTACCATTATTTAAATGTATTTACTTTATAACTTTATCTAACATGATTATGAACAGTGAATTAGTTCGCTGGTGAGACGGCATAAATCCAACACCTTCTCAAGATTGGCCTTAACATACGTAAGAAATAGCGTGCCCTAATCAGATATGTATGAACAGGAGCCACCACCAACCTAACCTAACCTATATATATATGCATAGAAAACGTAAATTTTTGGGAGCCACTACTTTTCATAGTACTTTGTAATTTGTACGTTGAGGACCATATAGCACAAAATGAGAGATATATTAGTTGAGAGAACGGATATGAAATTCCGGGCGAGGGTATTTAAACTATATATTAAACAAATAATTTCAACTTCAGCTTGGAAGTGCGGCAACTCTTTCAGATATGATAATATTAATGTGTTCATTTATGATTACACCTCATTATTTTCAGTTATGATAGTTCTTACTATTATGCCAATAGCAGCATTCTAACATTTTATAAACAATACTCATAGACCTTTCCGCATTGTTCATGTGTGGTTTATTTTTTAATTGTTATGCATACTGCGATCGAAACAATGACTGGAAGCATGCTTTATTTACCTCCAGCCTCTATCTGTAAACATTAACTCACCCAAACACTTAACTTAACCTTGCTTAACTTTCCTTTAATACATCATTTGTAATGTTATTCATTGAGAAAATCCGTAGTAGCTGTGATGAGGATTCGAATCTATGAGCTACATATTTCCAGACACACGGTCCAGACAACTATTTAAGTCTCGACATGATAAAAGGAGTGCAACCTGGAGTACTACAACACCCACGAGGGTTCCTGGGGGCTTCCACTGAAGCCGAACCAGGGTTTCACAAAATCCCCCATGCACTCCGGCTCTGTCATCCATGAATGTTCTACAGCTAACACTCCTCTTTCAAAGCACAGAGAGTAATCACACTAACGTGATGTATCAATGAGAAAATCCGTACATTTTCTTAAATTTACGTAAAATCAGTGAAAAGGATAAATTTACGGATTTGCACATTGATACATCACTTTAGTGTGATTACTCTCTGTGTAATGCTATTCATTGTATTTTGATTATATCGTTCAAAATTGTGCTGATGAGTCTGAAGGAAAATGATGCTGGGAGCATAAAAAGGTAGAGAAATTTTAATTGTTTCGGGAGTATGGTGGGAACTCTGTATTGGAAGGACATTTCTTGGTGTAAGGAAGCTTAATGATTCTATGGTGGGAGATAAGGGATGTTTCCGGTAAAGAGATATTGTGGGAGAGGAACGGATGGTGAGAACATATTGTGGGAATCTTTTTATCTTCAGACTTCCTAAAATAAGGAACTAACTAGCCACTGGGAAACTGTTGTTTTCTTCTTGGACAATATGTATTCTGTGTTCCCTAATTGGCTCAGTTTTCAGAGTGATCCAATAGAAATGGGCTGCTTTCATGAACCTGTTCAATGATAAAATCTCCACTGACCACTTGGTAAAAATTAATATGTATAAATGCAGCAGCACTGATACAGCTTCATATTATTTTCGCCTATCCTTTTGTTCTGGTATCTTGCCACATATGAATTATTATAAACAATTACAAGATTATGTAATGATATAAATTGATCTATTGTAAATGTATACTTTAATTTATTGTGAAGCAATTGCAATATATCAATATTAGTTGGATATTGGTTAACCTAGTATGTATAATTTATTTAAGTGGCAAGTAATTAACTTACTGAGGTGAGCTCGTGAGCTCTTGGTTGTAACCGCACTTGCAATATATTGGGGTTAGTAGCACAAAAAGACATTGGATTCACTCTCTAGTTACTACACCACCAACCTACCTTTATTTTGTAAGGATGAAGGTATACAGCTCTGTCTTATAATACTAAGACTTTAGCCCTCTTGTAGGGCCAGAGCTTATAGTGTTGTTCACTGTTATTGTTGGAATCAATAAACCGAAAAAGTTAGGTTAGGTAGTCGAAAAACAATTAATTCATGAAAACTTGGCTTATTAGGCAAATAGGGCCTTGCATAGTAGGCAGAGAAGTGCGTTCTGGCTACTAGGTACGACATATATATATATATATATATATATATATATATATATATATATATATATATATATATATATATATATATATATATATATATATATATATATATATGTCGTACCTAGTAGCCAGAACGCACTTCTCGGCCTACTATGCAAGGCCCGATTTGCCTAATAAGCCAAGTTTTCCTGAATTAATATATTTTCTCTAATTTTTTTCTTATGAAATGATAAAGCTACCCATTTCATTATTTATGAGGTCAATTTTTTTTTATTGGAGATAAAATTAATGCAGATATATGACCGAACCTAACCAACCCTACCTAACCTAACCTAACCTATCTTTATAGGTTAGGTTAGGTTAGGTAGCCGAAAATGTTAGGTTAGGTTAGGTTAGGTAGGTTAGGTTGTCGAAAAACTATTATTTCATGAAAACTTGGCTTATTAGGCAAATCGGGCCTTGCATAGTAGGCTGAGAAGTGCGTTCTGGCTACTAGGTACGACATATATATATATATATATATATATATATATATATATATATATATATATATATATATATATATATATATATATATATATATATTATTGTGACGGTGTTCCCCCCCCCCCTTATATTTCTCCCACGCCTGCAGTAAGAGTCATGTCCACTTTTCCCAAGCGTTCTCTACGTCGCAGGCTTCAATTTGATATATGTGGGAGAGTGGAGTGTTCTCGGAGAGCCGAGAAATTTGTGAAACAATAATATTTTGGCCTGTGGTTTAGGCCCTTTAGGAAGCCAAGATGGCGCTGGCTCTCCTGTTTCCCCGCCAAAACTGTGTGACGTCAGTGGCACCGGGAGCCAATGAGAACTTCCCATGGCGAAAGTGACGTCACGAAGGAAGGGGGTCCGGGCAGCTCGCCCCGCTGGCGCCAGCAGTCAGACACGACACGTCAAGGAGGTAGGACGTGCGATGATTGGTCCTGTCAGTTTGACAGTTGTTTCCCGCTCCCGTGGATTTACGCGTCACCTGAAGTCTGCCAGTACTCTGTGAGGTCTTCCCTAGTTCATGTGTTGAACCAGAGAGGGAATCGACGGTTATTGAGCAACAAGTGCTCCAGTCAGGTACTGTGCAAGAAGAAGTGAAGTCTGTGCAGTAACGTAGGCGACGTCTGAGGCAGTTCACCCAGTCGTGACGGCGTAGTGGCTGTCCAGAGCCACAGGGTAGCAGAGGAAGAAGAGGACTAGCTGGGAATCCGGACAACTGCAGCCGAGACGTAGGCGGCAGCCGCAGCTGGGAGAAGTCGACGGCCAGGAGACCGACTCCAACCCTTCAAGAAGTCGAGAAGGAGCACGGACCTGCAGGGAAGAAGGCACGGAGACGACGCGCTAAACGGTGGGACGACGAGTGGTTCCGGTAGGACACGACAACGTGTGTGTGGGGGCGTTCCCGACACGAGGACCAGGAGCTACAACTCAACTCTAATCGGAGGATAGGTTGAAGTAGGTGTTTCTAGTTTCCCTCCCCATTCCCCTTTAGTTAGCTATATTATTCGGCTATATTATCTAGCCTGAGGATTTTATATGTCGTGGGCAAGTCTCACCCATGTCACAGTAAGGCACCAGTGTGCAGGATAGTACTATCAAGAGTACTTGTAATATTCATGTTTATTATTGGTGTGTACAGGCACCCAGAACAAGTGATAAATTTACTGTGTTTTGTATATCTTTCTAGAGACTGTGATGAGAACATATAGTGATAAATTATTTATAATATTATGCCAGTATTTGGAGGTTAGGCTATGTGCCCAGAAACTATTTATTTACCATTTATTGATGTCTGATTTATATACATTATATATGTCTGTGTTCATGCAGTGATTAGTCATTTGTGACTACAGTGAATTATTGTGTTATCGCCCACGAGAGAAAGTACTGAAAACTCCAGTGTTAAATACTTCATAATATATCATTGAACGAAGGGCAGGTAAAACCATTACAGTGAGTCATTGTCGCATTGATTGTAGAAATGAATATTTGAGCCCGAGTACAGTGTAACTAAGTAATACGTGCTATTGTTGCCAATCTCGAGTGTGCGAGTTTCTAGTAATATTGGAGAACTTAAAGAAACAGCGCTGGTGAATCTAGAAAACAAGCAATAAACTTTCGCGCGGAGCCAGGCAATCAGCTGTTCTTGACATTGACGAGAGGGGGAGGTGTTGCCACTTAGTGAGTGCATAATATTCGTGGGAACTACCGGCCACAGCCAGGATCAGCTGATCTATTTATTGATTGACCTTGTGACATCTTTCATGCATTTTAAGTAAAATACAAAATTACTTTTGTGTTTATATCATCCCCTCCATTGATCTTGTGGCTATATTATACTGGAAAGCAAAGAGTGATAAGAGTAAGTACCTGCCGGATTCCTGATCTTTTGAGTGTGACCTTGCCAAGGCTACCACTAATTCAACCAGTCCACTGAGGTGTTACTGGACACCGAAAACACCAGTTGGCGACCTTGTGGTTAATAGTAAAGCCCTATGGTTGGGGCGGGCCACACAACAGTTAAGTAAACAAGAAGTGTGTTCCCACTCCTTCTCAATCAGAAGGCCGGTTGGGATTGACTGGGATACTCTCCTGGCGTGCAATGGCGCCGAGAGGATTAGAGTGAAGACCCACTGGGCTACGGTGAGTGACCTTGAGATAACTGGTGGTCACCCCAGAGTAAGAATAGAATATAAACCCCGACATTGGCGACCTTGCCAGGATTAAGTACAGTTAAGGTTGCTCACCGAGTAGA